GTGATACTTTCTTTTTTAGTTATATTATACTTTAAATTTAAATTGCATTTGTTAACGGGTTGATATAATAAAAATATGTTAACAATTTTTTAAGCTTTTAATTTATTTCTGCATGTGACAGTGATACAGTCAACAAGTATCCATATTTTTTGCTTCTTGCTTTGCGTCTTAATTGGCCAGCCTCCGCAATTATTCATTATCATTGCATTTTCGGAACACTGAGCATTAATAAATACCATTTCCTTGAGGTATAGCACTACTTTAAATAATTGTGACATTAAGAGTTATAGTTTCCCTAGGTCGCATATGATGGTGAAGGACTGATGCCTATTCATGTCGTTGGAATATTCAACTATCAGTCCTTCAACAGTTTATGAGACTAAGGGTGACTAACTCTTGCTCACTATTTACTGACAGTCTTGAAACATACTTTCTATGATTATAGTGTGGCATTGCTTGTAGTCTTTTACATTTGCTAATGAAATTAGAATATGCATTCTCTGTATTTAGTTTTTTTTAAGGAAACAAAACCCTAAGTTTTTTTTGTAATTACTTTCCTTCCTTGAACATGGATTATGCTCTTCTTATCTTCCAAATTTACCGATTTTGAATACTTGCTTGCTTTTATAACCCTATACTCTTCAAACTTTACTTTGCATACAATCATATTCGAGAGTAAATATTTAGCTTACTTTCTTTATTTATTCTTTACTTCTGTCTCGATTATGCACTCGAAAATTATTCGAACGTTTTTGTCTTATGCTGTGCGCTTTCACTGGCTAGTTGGCTTGATTATTTATTTATATTGAATTTTGAGATTAATGGTCACCATATTTTTATTTTTCTACAATGTATATCGAATGAATAAAAATGATAAATTATCTGTAGGCTTTAGTGTGCTGCTAAAATTTTATGTTGTTATTTGTTCTTAGTCACCTCTGGCTTTATTCCTTCTTTTAAAACTCCTGTTCCCCAGCTGGATGCTCCTTCTTCAAATACCCTGGTTCCATTGAGTAGAGCAACTATGACTATCATCTTTTATAGGCGTATGTTGGTTCGAAGACTCAAGAACCACATAGACCAGATTGCTCATTTTGATTTTCTTACCTTTTGTCTAGCAGTAACGAACTATTTTTTATATGAAGAGAAGCTGGGTTTTGAAGAATCCCTTAATAGATTGATACTAGCGTACCTTTCACTTCTTTTGAGAAGGCGAGTCGAAGGCATTCGTAGATTGACCCCACCGGATACCGCAGGAGGGTTGTCTTGGACTTTTGTCTGTTGAATTGTGCGAAGAAGACCTCGACTGACCGTCCTACGACCCTGATGACTCCGTGCTGAACTTTTGTCCGTCATGTGACCGACATCGTCAGAGCCAGTAAACATTATTCACGAAAAATCATCAAAATTGACATTAAACCAATAAGGGTGGTCAGCATAGATCCTTCTTACTTCATATTTGTCACTGCGATCTTAATGATGCATTTTATAATTTGGTTGGGTGACGCATTCTTGTCCTACATGCATGTAAGTGGGTCTAAGTGATGCAGGCAGGGGAGCGGGTATAGTCACAACTTTTGTCTATGTAAATAAACTTGGGTATGATCCAGTAGTCCTGGGTCTTGCTATAGCTTCATTGATGCGTATTTGAGTGTGTATGCCATAACCCAGTGTTGGCTGGCAAGTTTAAGTCAAAAATAGGCTCCAGCTTAGTCTAGTCTTCTCTTACTCAGGGGCTCTTCCTGTTCCCTTTCCTTTACTCTCTCTCTCATTCTATTTAGAAGCCAGAGATAGTTCTTATTTAATTTCTTACATTTCTTTCTCTTATTCAGGATACTCTTTGTTTTATTACTTGCAATCGATTCTATGATCTTCCCTTTAGCTGGGAAGTCCCCATATCCGACCAAACGTTGGGATTTAGACCACTATCTGATGTTCATATCGATCACATGTTCAGCCAATTCCGATTTATGAAAACATGAGCCTTTGCAGGCGGTTCTGTGTTCTGATAGCCTCTTTTGTATGCCTCGACAGGTCTCCCACACATAAACTCTACCACATGAGCACAAAACCTTATAACAACCTGATTTGCAGAGAGCGTCTGAAGATGCTCTGAAAGAAGGCATGATCGAGGAAAGCGTTATTGTTTATTTATACCTTGTCTTGACACTATTTCCTCAATAATTCGCCTATCTTTCTTGAAGGCTTGCATGATGGCAGCATTAGAAACATGGCCGAAATGTTGTCTAATTCCTTTATTTTGTTCAAAATAATGGTTTTCATTCACCTTATTTCTCACTATTTTGAAATTGCTCCTACCGCATAATTGTTATCAGCTAAGATTTTTCTGAACCTTTCCAACTCCTGTTATTGGTGATTTTCAACCGCTAGACGTAAACTCCTTATCATCGTTGATTTCATTGCGCGTACCTTAACGGCATAAGTATGATTCGATAAGAAATTAAGAAGAAAACCAGCGTTCGTGAGTTTCCTATATACATCTTTACCCAGTTTGATCCTTTTTTTATAAACTAGAATATCTAAAAAGGGTAGCTTATTGTCTTTTTCTAATCTACTCTTCTAATTTTTATAATCTAATCTTTTTCTACTCTTCATTGAACCAAGTCATCCGAACACGCCTTGTCATGCTGCCAGATAGCAAAGTAATCATCCACATATCTGACCAATAGTTTCGGAACTAGGAGTGACTCTTGAAAAAGCCGGACTTCCAATTGAGCCATGTATTTATTAGCTAAAACTAGAGACAAACACGATCCCTTAGCGAAACCTCTCGTTTGCTCGTACGATTTACCATTTAAGTTAAAATATGTACTATTCATTATTAAGTTTGTCAATCGCATAATTGACTCCTTATCATCTCTGCGTGTAAATCTAAGGCTAATCCTAATGCTTGTATGGCCCCACTTATGTATGTTCGTGTACATCAATACTGTTGGATAGGCTTAAGTAAAGGGAGAAAGAGGGGAAGCAGGAAAAGCCACTGAGCAAGAGGAGGTTAGATTGACCTCGAGTCTAGCTAGGACTATCACACTTCCCATGATATGAACATTACCTTCACTCAATAGATAGTAGCACAAGCCCAAACTTGATTCAAAATTAGATGATTGTACGCTAATTTGTGTGTGATAAAACAGCGGCCACCGAATGCACTTCCGGTTCAAGAAGTTAACTTCACTCATTTGCAAGCATGTAGAGTAAAGTTGAAGTAACCAACCAAATCATGGTATGCTTCATTAAGATCGCGACTATGTTGCAGCCAGCTACCTTTTATCTTAGTATAGTATATTTTTTCTCTGTTTCGTAACCTATGGAATCTTGCTCTGATGATGTCCGTCACTAAAGC